AGGGGACCCGCCGAGCTTACCGCCTATCTCGTCGGTTATTGAAAATCGGTTGTTCTCTCCTAGCTTTCTCGAAATGTAGGCTGAAAGACGGACTACTCGAGGAGACGATCGGGTCGCGTCGAATCGATCGAGAACGCGTGTTCATCGATTCTCGCTGATGTTCTTCGGCGGTCGGTGCCGGAGAGAATCGTTTACTCGTCGGAAACTGCTCGGAGAGGTTGGCCAGTGCGGTCCGATCTGGCGACGCAAGTTACTTTTCTTTTCGAGCGACGCTTGCAACGGCTGCATATTGCTTGTAGCGTTTAAAAATTAGCCGAGACAAGAATGGGGACTGGTAAATACGATCAACACTGACCGCTGTGCCGCACGGAACGTTTAGATAGAAGAACACCGAGAAGAAGAAGGCAGAGCAACCGTGAACAATTTACCTCGCGCACTGTACAATCCCAGAGGCCGTACTATCGACATCTTAATTATAACAACTATCTTCCTCTCTCCGCGTAGTCTATAATTATCCAACCCCTAGCGCGATGCAAGAAACTCCCATTGCAATAACTAATCCCCTGAAAAATCCACGTATGCCGAGACCAGCTGGAAACAGTGAGACACCCTACGAAACGAGTCACGCCTCCTAAATTTCCTTATCGAGGAGCAACAACCCGCCGCTAGGTATATGCCGCAGCCACGCGATAAATCATCCAGCAAATTCCGCATCGAATATTTTTCTCGAATCTCGGGGAACGCGAAGGAGGGAAAGGAGGAAGGGGGAAGGGGGAAGGAACACGGGGATCGAGCGAAATTTTGTCACGGCAGAGTTCGGTCGGACCGCCGTAAATCGCGAAAGGCGTGAACTGGCGGACAGGACAGGTCGAACAACCGTTACCATCGTTCATTCGATATCTAGGGGAATGCGGCTCGGGTCTCGCCGCGTGTCCAATATCGTCTGGGAGGTAAATGCACTCTCCCTCGCCCCCCTAACTTGACAGCGTGCCACGACAGTGCCCAACGATCGGATCTGCCCGACCGAAACTCGCTCGTCAGGTGTATACGAACAAGCGAGCGGGCAGTAATCCCCGCTCGTAACCGGAATCAGCGAGACGCGTAGACCTCGTGCTCGTGGATTTAGACGTAACGAGCGTCGGCCGAGCGACCCGACGGCCTGTCAAACGCGAAAAACTCGCTCGCCGCGACACGGAGGCCGCGTGGGCGCCACAATCGGCCGTACCACTCGAGGACAATTATCCGTGGCCCGGCTTCTCCCTAGACAATGGTTCCTTCGGCTGGTCTTATCGTGGGCCGGCGACTCGCGCCCAACTTCCTCGCCCTTTCCCTCTTTTGTAATTTCCGACGATGCTCGTAAAGTTTCCGCCGCGGCGACCGTGTTTCCGCCACGGGCTTTCAATTAGAATCGACGCGAGCGAGCGAACCAACGGCGGCCGGTTTACGACCGCCGCGGATACGGATCACCCTCGACCGAATCAGCTATCACGGGTTAATATCTGTGTACAAACAACGAAAACAATGCGCCGCCGGACCGTTGATACTCGGACCGTGTTGCGACCGCGGGCCAGATAAACGGAGAACCAACGCTAATGGCGCTCAGCGACACGGTAGACAGTCGTGACTAATCCCGTGCAGGGGACTCTATCGCCGGCTGAATTCCCAGTGAAAAATCAAACTTCCTATTGGTTCGCTCTTGGCTAGGTCTTGGCTAGGTCTTGGCTGGGTCTTGGCTAGGTCGATAGAGAAATGGTTCGTGAGGCGTTCGACCTGGTGCGCTGGAAGGGAATTGTTCTCGGAAGCGCGGCCGTTCGGACGTGTGTACGGCGGTGAGCAGTTGACGGAAAAGGGATCGCGGGAGGGAAACCGAGATTGCTCTGCTTGTCGTTACACACGCGCATCCATACGAATATACCGTGGCAACGTTCCTATTTCGTAATCTATGCTATTTCGATTGCAGGTAACTACCGTGCCGGACGAGGGTGAGCACAGTTTCAAGATGCCCAGGGCTTCCGTGGTGCACATGACGTCGACAGCGACGAGGCCGCAGCACATGTCTCAGGTACTCGTCTCTTTCTATCGGTCCGATTAATCGCGTTTCACCGATTCCCAAAGTCGAGTTATTACTCTGATTTAGTATCGTTGAATGGCCTCGGTGGAATATTTAAAGGCAGCTTCAAAGGATCCCAATCCCATCCGATCGCAATTATTAGCAGGAGGAACTTCCCGACTACAACCCAGGCGATTCGCATCCCCCGACGTACCCGTGTTCTCGTGTTCCCGTCGGTTCTCGAATAAGCCAAATCCAGCGAGCGGGCCGAATCTTTCCTTCTTGGCATGGCTCCATATTGATATGCAAATACCAAAGATAGCTGCGAGCTTAATTGAGTGGTTCAACTTAAAATGCATATCGAGCGTCCAGGCGGCAGACTCGAGTTACCTCTCTCTTTTTCACTGATCTACCATCTATCCGTCTACCTACCTATCTATCTACCTACCTACCTACCTACCTACCTACCTACCGACCTACCTACCTACCTCTATTTTATCCTCAATTTTTCTTTGCACTTTTCATAAAGACGCAGCACCGAAGCAGCCTGGACTGACCAGTGATTTTCATAATATCTCCGTTACAAAGACTTTGAAAAGTTCTCTTTCGTTTCTCTTTTTCCTCCCTTTAATCCACTCCTTCCTTCGTTCCTTCCGTCATCGTTCGTCGGCGTTCCCCTTTCGCTCGAGGTCGGCCAACAGTTTTAAGCTAATGGCTCTCTCGGTTAACTCCGACCTAACTCAGGCACATCCTTTCCCGGCGTGGCTCCGCGCAAACGAGCTTTTAACGTCGTGCCCCTTACCAGAAGAAACGCACGGGATACCCCCATGCACACAGGCGCGCACACTCGCACACATCGTCCGAGAAATTCATACTCTCCCGAGAATCGTTCGGTTGAATTTTCAGCGTCCCGACACCGGGTGTTCCATTTGCACCGGGCGTTTCACCCGATTCGCCCTCGCCGGCCGCGATGCTCGCCAAGTTTTACGGCGCGTCGCTCGCCCGAGAAATTCGTGCACTCGTGATAATTGTAAACGATGAAATGCAACGGCGACCATGTCGTATGTATACGTTCGTTTGATTCTTTTCGTTGCTGCTCGAGCAAGGTGTCTTATAGCAGTGAATTTAAAACGGCACCGATATTTCTGGGCTAGATGAAATCGGACGTCCCGGGACGCGATACAAATCCATTTAACCGGATCGAGAAGGTGAGCAACTGGGTATTTCAGTATCATCGAATGCAGGTGATGCGTCAAAGCGGGGCACGCCGCGGGTAGAAATTAGCCAGGATCCGTTCCCTGGCTCGCAGCCTCTCGAACTTTGACGTTGTCCATTATAGACCGATTAGACGGGCGAAGATAATCGCATCCACCGTGCGTGGCACGGCTCCCGTGTATCCGTGTTATTGGCATCCGCGCGGAAACCGGAATCTGGATCCGTTACAGCGGCTGCGGAACTGAACACGGCTACCCCCCGTCGTACGGTTTATCGTTCCAGTTACCAAGCTGTTTACCCCTTTGTCACGCCTAAGCCGTCAGTTTCCACGCGGATTTCTTTTTCGAATCCTTCGGAGATCGTACGCCTCGGGATTACAACGTTGTACCGAAAGAATTTCAAAACACCGAATCTTTCCATCTGTCTGGTAATACGGGGAAACACGTTTCTCCAATTCCCTTACCACTAGACTCGTAGAGATCGCGAATCACCGAGCGAAAATCTATTCCGTTGGAATGCATCGTTGAAATTTTCAAACGATTCATCGAGTGACCCGTCGATGAATTTTTCTCACCGTTTCACCCTAAATCGGAACAAGTTGATCGTTTTTCCGATTGTCAATTTTTCCTAGCGACGGCAACCTCCGTCCACGGACTTTGCGTCCACCTAGCGCGTTAACTCGTTATCGATGTTCCGAAATACCGTTGACGACCAACGAGAGAGCAGATGTCGCGAACTAGGAAAATCCGAAAGTTTACAGAGTAAGAGCGCAGTAAGAGCGCAGTAAGAGCGCAGCGAGGGCGCAGCTGTTAACCGAACAATATTTCCGAACAGCGTTCGACCGTTGCGATGGTAATAAACGAGAGAAAAGTTTCACGAAGGAACAACGAACGAGAGAGTTCCATGGCGGGAACGCGGTCGCAGTGGCGAGCGACGGTAACGGTGTAACTCCGCGTGCTTATTATCGGGGTCCTCGTAGCTCGCGCGAGCGGTCCCGACGGACACGCGCGACGTGCCGCGACTGTAAACAGTCCGAGACCGTCGCGGATGTTGCGCGCGTTCGAAGAGCAAGCGTCGAAAATCGTTGACACGCGTTCGCCTCGGATCACCGGCTGCTCGCGACCATTGCTGCGGCGCGATGTCATCGAAGGTTCGCAACAGTCTAGGCAATTAATCTACAAGTATCGTAGCGTACTCTCCGTTTCCTCAGCTCTGCCTTCCTAATTCTCTTCTATTCGAGACTGTTGTAGATTTCCTATTTTCCAATTTCCTATTATATATGTAAGACAGGTAAGGATTAGGCAATTAGGGACACAGACGGAGAGGCAGAAAGAGAGAGAGAGAGAGAGAGAGAGAGCTGACGGGGCTGAACAATATAATTGAGGAGATTTCTGAAATGATCAACTGAAAACGGTATCTGACAGTAACGAATCGGCAAGCGATTAAATTTCTCAAGTTTCCATAACAATGCCTGCCCAACCATCCGACAGCAGGAACGCTCCACAAACACCGAAAGACGCGCACTCGTTCGAACGCGAGAAGAATCGTACAGCAGCTTCTCTCTCGTTAGCATACGGAGCCCAACTAGCGATAAAAGGTTCCCGATAACGAATCGACGTGTAATCGGATCGGGAAGCGTCAGACACGACCACGCGTCATTGTTCGAGAATCACGCGGCGCGAGTCGGCTACCTAGGGAGCGTTACAGTTTTCGCGCGTTCAGGGGAGATAGGTAGAAACGCGGTCGATTGGAAAGCGGCACGCGACCCACGCATTATTGTTTGCAAACGGTTAGATCGAGCCGCGGACGGCGTGCGGCGACGACGATGGAAAGGCTGGCCAAGGCGACGCGTGTAATCGCGCATAATACGCCTCGTCCAGCGTCCGTTTATCGCATTAGAGTATTGCTCAGGAGAGTGGAGCGCGAGATATTGAAAGTCTATGGAAATTTACGTGGGATCGGCGCCGGCAGTTTCTTTTGAAATTCCTTGAATCCAACCTAGGAACGCGTAACCTCTTTCAAGGTATACGCGTAACATACTACGATATACCAGATACAGATATACCGATGAAATTTATCCGGCATTAGAAGACTATTTTCACAAAAGTCGTTTCACTCGAAGGGAAATTTCAAACGGAACAAGATCATTTTCAACATTTCGAAAAAGCATCGCGGAACGATTCGGAATTATTCGTCGAATACTCGAACGGAAATATTCTCCTTTCCGTACAGACCTGTGTACCCTGTGTGCCATTACATGCAGGATCTCGGACGCGCGAATGTGCTCGATAAAGGCGCGGGCGATGCGAGTCGCGCGCACGATGGCCAGAGTTTAATATGAAATATCGAGAGAATTTTCCAGCAGGTGCTTCTGACACGGCTTTACGGATTCCGCGGGAAAACCGGTCGGTACACGCGGGACACGTGACACGGTCCGCGATCGCATTTGCAATTTTTCTGAGCTCTTTTTCGAGCATGTTCGCCGCGCGACCCAAGATTTACTGCCCGACCACTGTCGCGTATCCCCTAACGGAGGAATCGATTAATAACGCGTTCGTCTCGGAGAATCACTCCGATAGCGAAACACTCCGATCGCAGTCGCAATCGCGATCGCGATCGCGTTAGGAGACCGCGGCCCGATAATGCGGGCGAACCCGATAATACGAAAATTCGATTCCCCTCTGCGCGGCCGTAATTTAATGTCCGGCTAATTTAATTTCCTCCTCTTTTCCTGGCCCGTTAATGCACTTGTACGCGCGGAGCGATCATTTCTGTCGCGCGACGCGATCCCTGGTCGCGTCAATTGCATAACAATTACAGGCACACCCTGCGTTATTCGCCTGTTACGGGCTCGAGCGATAACTCTTCTGGCACGTTTCGTTTTCGATGGATCGTTTTCCCACGGAATCGCGACAGGCCAGGAGAGAAACCGAACCTCGACACGCGTATTATCGTCGTTGATGTCATCTCTATTTCTCTGGTTCGCAACCTAGAGAGCAGCGGGCGCGGCATAGCGGAGCCGGTGGACGCGCGGATAACGGTGCAACAGGGCGAGTTTCGCGCGCAAGAACCATCGGTGGCCGCAATTTACGCGTGAAACGAATTTTCAGTATGTCAGCGTACCAGGTGAGCACGGTATGCGCGATTAGCGGTGAAAAGTATTTCGTTCGACTGGTTACCGTGTCGAGTAGCCGGAACTTATCTGAATCGGGACCTACGAGGTTCGTTGCAGATTACTTTAGGAGCATGATACACGATACCGGTGACTGTTGACCTGCGAGACCCGGACTAAAGAATTTTGCGCCACTGCAATGCGATACTGTTGGCTAGGAATTTATGACGCCGGTCCAGGCTGTTGGAACTTGGGTAAACGGACTTTGGGCTTACGTCATCGGATACTAGTGTTTTCAAACCTGATGCGCGTGTCCTGGGACCTACGGAACTTTATCCTGTGGGTCAGGGACTCGGCTACACGGTTGGCCTCTTCCGGGGCGAGGCGGCAAAGTCGGCAAAGTCGGCAAAGTCGCCAAAGTCGGTACTGGCCAAGGGGCCAAGGGGAATCGGTCGACTCGGCCAATAACGAGGACGCGCCGAGACCAACAGCCTAACGAACTGACAAACTGACAAACTGACAACGGTCGGTCGACGTCTCCCCTTACCCCTGCACCCATTTAGCCCCAAGATCGAGGCTCGGTACTTGGCCTCGGAACGAATACATCTACGATATTCGTGTCTTTTATTTTTATTCTTCGTAGAAATGTTTTCACATCGTAATACCACGGTTCGCAAGCACTCTTCGAAACAACGAACGCACGATACCACGTACCCCGTCGGTCAGATTATTTTCATTGAAAAGATTCACTCGTCGCATTTTCTCGACACACGACGAAAAATGATGATTACACCGTATACAACAAACTACCGCATACACGGCAGCATGGACCGTTAGCTGTATAACGACCAACTGACGCGTTAATTTCCGTCGGGTTGCTCGCGCTAATTCGAGCGGCAGGTAAAAGCATTCGCGTGCGTTCCGCGCTTTTTATCCGTATCGTTTAGCTGCGTTAGAACGTTAGATCCGCGGAGAACGGAAACGGTGTACTCGAGAAAAAAGAACCCGCGATGCGAAAGAGGAAGGGGAAAAAGGAGAAGAAGAGGAAGAAGAAGAGGAAGATCGAACAGAAGGAATGGTTGCTCTGGATCGCTATCCACCACATCCATCCACCGTGATGGATAAGTCACGCAATTAACGAGGAGGTATTCGCGATATTTCCACACCTTTTGTAGGGTGTGTCGGACTCGTTGCTCCACTCGTACCTTGTCCTCCCATCTTCTCGGCGCGAGCAGTGCGAAAACAGTCCGCGATAAGGGAGAAGAAGCTGTTCGGAGACAACGGTTCTGCGTCGTTGCGGGTCCGGAATTTCGTAGAGCCGTAGTTCCGTGGCTGGCGCGGCATAAAATTGGTCGGGTCCGTGAACTAGAGCATTGTCACGCGGTGGAATATGCGCGGCCGCTGCACGTGGCAACGCGAAATGTTTAGTATTCCTGACGAAGGGTTGCGAGTACTCGGGGCTTTCAATTTGCGGCCGACTATTTGTCCGCCGGTTGCTGACCGCAATATGCGAACACGGCTGATACGCTCGCATGCGCGGACTCGCGTTCCTGTATTTCGACGAATTCGCGGTTCGCCGTCGGGGCCGCTATCTTTTACCTGTTACCCGCGAAACGACGCGTTAACTCGTCGATCGAGTGGACGTGAAAGTTACGCTTTCGCTTCCATTTTCCATTTTCCATTTTCCATTTTCCATTTTCCATTTTCCATTTCTCATTCTTCGTTTCATTGATCATTTTTACTCGAGATAAACAAGTGCATTCGTCTTTTCGAATTGTAGGTGTTGGCCACCCTGGCTCTGTCCATGGGAACACTGTCATCAGGCCTGGCAAAGGGTTACACTTCTCCGGCTTTGGACTCCATCTTGGATAGTCAACCCCCTCATCTTTATCAATCTTCGAATAACGACACATGGTAAGCTTCTTTCGTGTGCTGAGAACGCGCGAGCTACAAGACAACACTTTTCAAAGATGATCCATTCGCGTCTCTGGTTGTCTTTCGTTTCGTGCACCATCATCCGATATGCGCCAGATCGGTGGCAATGTAATAACTCGCAATTAGTAGCACGATAGTCGTAACTCGATCGGGAAAGGTGAAACTTCGTAAGTAATTGTGCGTTATTCGTGTCGTGTCCGGTAACGATTAGTGTAGCCGTAGAGATAAGAAAATGAAATAAAAAGATCGGGAGATATTTCTTCGAGCGACTCTCCCCACCGCGCCGCTCGGCCAAGTAATAAAGCGCGGTCGAATATCTTAAGTAATTCATTTAACAAACGCATTAACGTCACACCCCGTTCCTTTTCAAATGTCGTCGCGCACACTTTCTCCGCGACAGCGGTTCGGCTATATCGCGTTTTACCGCAAAGGAAGCAGCACGCTTGCACACAGTAGCGACCGGATTCCTGCCGCTCATTAATTGCACCCCGTATGCAATGTCCGCGCGTTTCGTTCTTTACGTAATTCCCAGTTTCGCAGTTTTATAGTTTTACAGTTTCATAGGCTGCGTGGATTCAACTTCGGTTTACCCGATTAAGAACGGGCTTTTTTCCTGTTGATCGAGTATTTCCTACTTAACATAATGATTTGGTTAGATCGAACATTTACTCTCACGCGACGAATCTCGACACATCTCATCGAGTAACGCGCAACGCAAAAGCTAACGTTGCGTTTTCTGCATTCGAATTCGACAAGCAAGATATTTCCAATAAACGAAAGCATCGCACCGTTTCTTGTACACGTCGAATGCTTTCCGTTTTATCGTCGTTTTATCCAGCACTGTGTAACAACTTTTTTCTCTGCGTTTCAACTAGAGTGTCCTCTGACCCGTTTTCCCCCGTTTTCCCCCGTTTTCCCAGGTTTTCCGTCGCGGCATCGCGCGACGTCAGTAGTAATGGTATCGCCATTTGTCGTAGGTCGGCTTTCTCCGTGACGCAACAAGAAGCCTCGTGGGTAGCATCTCTGTCGATGCTAGGCGCATGGTTCGGCGCTATGATCGGCGATTGGATAATGAGAAGGGGACGTAGGCTGGCTCTTCGCGTCACCTCGATGCCTTTGGCCGCCGTCTGGATATTCACCGGTATCGCGCCCTGCGTGGAACTGGTCTACGTAACCAGCTTCATCGGAGGCCTTTGCTGTTCGGTCATCACTATGGTTGCTCAGGTACGCCAGACCCAATACCGAGGAACCATTTCACCGTTGCTATTCATTCGCTGTTCGTTCGAAGCTCTTGGAATGTTACGTTGCGTTACAAACAGTCGCGTGCAACTATGCTTGAGAAAAGAAGGAACGATATAGTATCGATGGATCGATTATCGAGTAACGTTCGTGTTTTCGTCGCTGGCAGAACTGTCCAAGCTGGATCGCGTCTTCTATTGTCCAGGTGTACATATCCGAGATCTCGATGCCGGGCATCAGGGGCTGCCTGTCGGCGATGCTGAAAGTTCTGGGTCACGTCGGCGTGTTATTGTCGTACATAGCGGGCACGTACCTGAACTGGCGTCAAAGCGCGCTTCTGGTAGCAGTCGCACCGTCGATGCTCTTTTTGGGGACCCTTTTTATACCGGAAACTCCCTCGTATCTCGTGCTGAACGGCAAAGACGACGAGGCAGCGAACAGCCTGCAATGGCTGCGCGGGGATCACGTCGATATACGACACGAGCTTCAGGTAAGCCTTTCTCCGACTGATTCTTTTCGATACTTTTCGTTACCGATTACACCTCGATTTTCGTTCACCGTATCGATATTCGGCCACCGCAGGTGATCAAGACGAACATACTGGCCTCCAGGGCGAAGCAGTACGAACTAACGTTCAAGAACAGCATGTTCACGCCTCGGCTGTACAAACCGATCGCCATCACGTGCGGTTTGATGTTCTTCCAACGATTCTCCGGGGCGAACGCTTTCAATTATTACGCTGTGATAATATTTCGGCAGACACTGGGCGGCATGAATCCTCATGGAGCGACGATCGCGATCGGATTCGTGCAATTGTTGGCTTCCTTGTTGTCCGGTATGATGATCGAATTTCCATAGTTTCCGTATCGAGTGTCGCTAGAGTTTTAGTCGAATTACAACAACTTTGTCACTCCTCGGAATCCGTTTCAATTCACGGTTGAATCGATTCAAGAGATATCCTTTGATTCTACATCCTTCCCTAATTTCTCCCCTCCTTAAGATATTTCAAACCAAAGCTATCCTATTTCTAGGCATCCAAAGACCGTCCACCGGACGGTTTAAACAGAAACGGAAATAGGAGTGTCATTCTGTTCGACAGGATTTCTGATCGACATCGTGGGAAGACTGCCGCTCCTGATAGCTAGCACCGTCTTCATGTCGTTGGCGTTGGCTGGTTTCGGGAGTTACGCGTACTACATGTCACAGACGCAGAATCTGGGGTATCCAGACACCGCGGTGGTCGGTCAACAGGACTGGATACCGTTGCTCTGCGTGCTCGTCTTCACGACTGCACTGGCTTTGGGCATATCGCCAATTTCGTGGTTATTGATTGGCGAGCTCTTTCCCCTGGAGTATCGTGGCCTCGGCTCGAGTATCAGCACCAGCTTCAGCTACTTCTGCGCGTTCGTCGGGATTAAACTCTTCATGGATTTTCAGCAGGTGGGACGCTTTAATCGCTAGCGGATCGGGGGGCAGCGCGATTCCGAGGCTCGACGCTCGACTCTGGCTACCCGGCAACTCGCGGTATTGCTTCTCCGTTGTCGGAGAATTGTCGAATGGTACAGCGAATGCTGCGTTTGCCTAATATTTTCAACTTGTATCTTGGATATCGAATTACTCGCCGGGCAATGCTAGTAATATCGTTAAGCGATCGAGACTTTTCAAAAGCCGTAATCTATGATTTCCAAGTGTTTCGATAAATCGTTGAAAAAGATTGGCGTTGTACGAGCGTCGAACCGACTGAAAAGTCTAGCAGATAGAATCGTAACCTCGAACAGGTGCTCCCTAGTTTCCCGGTACACGCTAACCAAATAATCGTCCCGGACGTTTCCCCCGTGATTCCCGATCGGACAGATCGCCCGATCGCCAACACGGCGGCCACGAGTCAGCGTTCCGCGACATCTATTTAGGTATCCGAACCCTGCGTGAAAACGTTAACATGTTACAGATGTTCGGGCTGCACGGCGCGTTCTGGTTCTACGCGGCGGTGGCGGTGTGCGGTTTGTGCTTCGTGGTCTGCTGCGTCCCGGAAACGAAAGGGAAACAGTTGGACGAGATGAACCCGGACTACGCGCAGGCTCGGTAGTATAAGGCCTCGCTGACAGGCGGCCTGTCCAATCTGGAGAAGGCGAACAAGCCTCTGCCAGGCGGAGCGTACCCGAACCAGCACGATCCGCGGGATCTGTACAACGGGGGTGCGGCCAGGGGCGCGCAGCCAGCGACCACCCATCGAACCGGTAGAACCGGACACCGGAAGTTGTCCGATTATTGCAACATCTTCGCCGAGAAGACCAACAGGATCGGTAGGAACGTCGAGAGCTTCATGCAGTCGCGCGGATTCTTCGCGGGACGTCGTTCCACGGACGAGGCCGCCGGCAGAAGTGCCGCGACGGCTGCGCACAGGAGCAACGGGGACGTGATCCGGACCGATTATCGGTTCCCCGATCGGCTGGAAGACCGTGTCGCTGCTCGCGAGGCGGACCGCCATCGCTACGGCCGGCCCGAGCGGAATCACCGCGACCGATCCGTCTACCCGAAGACCGTGTACCCTCAGGGGAGCAGCGTCGAGAGCGGCTACACGGCGGCGCAGTCGCGACGGTCCAGGCGACGCGATTACGCGGACGTCTACCGGGACAGCTGGAACGCCGGACCGAGCGACACGGACGGGCCGAAACCGAGCCTGAGGAACGGGGCCGGGATTCCTCGCGGGCGGACCGACCGCCCGTACAGCTCGACCCTGCCCAGGCGGAGCAGGACCATCAATTTCAGGGATCAGCCGGACAACGCTCTCGATTCCTTCAGGAATTACCCGAAGAGCCTCCAAGATCTCTCCGACCTGGAGTTGGAGGACGGGATCCGGGATCCTCGCGTCCCGGCTGTGCCCTCCTTTCTCTCCAAGGACAGGCAGTGGAGGGACGACTGGCTGCTGGACGACGGACACCGGCGTCGCAGACTTCACCGCGAGGAGCAACTCGAGGACGACTATCTCAGACTGTACAGGAGCCTCTCGAGGCTCGACAAGTATTCGCCCGGTGGGAGGTACGAGCCGGGGCAGGTGCACTACGAAAGGGAGTGCCGGACATTCGGCAAGGACACGGTCGCGTTCATCTATTACAAAACCTGTTACTTGTGATGCAGGAAGAACGGCGACAGGCTAGGGAACCACCTCGGAACCAGTTCGGAACATCGACGTCCCAGAATCGTTCGTTCTTTAGGGTGTTAGGTCCAACGAACACGCTGATCGTGATCGGTGGTGTACGATCTCTTCCGTAGAATTCTTGTTCTTCCGATAGGTCTCGCGATTGACATTCAACTCGGTTGAACATCGGTACGTCGTGATCAGTAGCGTAGAGTGGATTTCTTCGGGATTTTTCCTATCCGAGTGCTGTCGGAGTATCGCTCGAGCCCTGATTTCTCACCGGAGAGATCCGACGAACGGTGACTTTGGATCGCCAGGTTCCTTCGCTGTCGATCCGAGACGGGTTCGGCCGATAGTCCCGTAACGACGGCCCGCCGAACGCTTGGAACGGCGCGCGGGGATCGATTAGGATCGTGTTCGGTAGAGACGCTCGGTTTCGAGAGCGGCACTCGAAAGGCTCGTAATCAAAAGTGTACAATTTCTACACGCGACTAGCGTATTAAATAGAAGATGGAGACGTTACGTTCGTAAGCGCCGAAAGATCAACGTTCGTTTTCCGTCTGACCAGTCTCTGCTCACATACCTTGTCCCCTTTCGGTCGTTGCGAGCCAAGGATATACATATACATATACATATATATATATATATATATATATATATATATATATATATATATATATATATCTTCCCCTTTTAGAAAGGTAAATATCACGACTGAACCATGCGAATTTTTCTAATTAGCCGATTCGTCTTTGTACTTTTGCCTTGGGAACTGTTTACCCAACCGTTATATTTCGACCAAGACGGATTCGCAACGCGTACACGTGCGAACACGTTTAGTTTCCGTCGGAACCGGAACCACCGCGGACACCACGTCCGCGGATCTAGTCGAGGACCCTTCTCATCGGGACTAAAACAAAAGAACGCTCTTCCGTGCAACGTGCCTTCTCAAAAAGCACGAACAACTCTTTCGAGTGTACCGATCGGCCGGTACACCGTTGTACATACACACGAGAACGAGAGGATACGATGTATCCAACTATCGTACGATGCGGAGCCGGGGGTTGAAAACGGTTGATGAATCGGTGAACAAATCGGTTCCGGTTCTTCAAAGAATCGCGGGAACTGAAACGGTGCTGTAACGTAACTCGCGTTAGGTCGTCACCGAAGAGAAGCTTCGTATTCCAGATTCTTTCGAACATTTCATGGTTACGTATCCCACAGATACTTTCCTTTGAACCCGTTAAGAAGCAGTTTTAGAGGAAAAGTTCGAGGTATAAAGAATGAAACTGTCGCACCATCGTTTCAGTTTGCACAGCTATCTGGGTCAGAACCATCAAATAATTAGTTATCAACGGCAAATCCTGGGACCGTTTCAACCCCTGCGCGAGACACTTAGAAATAGGCTCGACAGACTGAACCGTCGATGATCGTCGGCGTTTCTCCTGGCGTGTTGGCCACGCGACACGTTTTTCGGATCTCGATACGCGACAATACGCGATACGCGACAATACGCGACAATACGCGACAATACGCAAAGTAGAGAGACGTAGAGTGATGTAGAGAGACGTAGAGAGATGGAAGACTCGTAGAGAGGAAAAGTAATCGAGGAAACGTTGCTCCTTCCAACGAGAGTTCTTTCAAGAGTAACGGACTGATCCGTCGAACCCCGTCTGCAGTGGCGTGCAGCTTCGCCGTCGGCGACGAGAACCAGCTGGCTGGTAACGGTCGATCCTTTTTGCGGTAGCCCTCGCGGTCGACGCGATCGTGACGAATCGCTGGGACGATAATGGTAGTTTCTAGCGATAGGAGCGTGTAGCTACCATCCGAAGAAATACGTCTATTTTCTATTGAAATGCGTGGCAGGGAAGGAAGTATCGCGCAGGGAAGACCGGTCGAACAGACGTTACTTTTACATCCATTCCGACGATGTCTACGGCTGTGTCGCATAAACGGACGGAACGCGTATGTAGAACGGAGAGATTAGAGAAGGAATATTTTACAATGGGCTAAAGTTTACACACTCGGGCCTCGTTCTAAGGATTTAGCGCGGGGGCCATTGACTAAATGATGACAATATTAATTGTAGATATTATACATGTATTATACATATATCGTTAGTACCTACATCCGCGTACTATCTTTCGTACTAAGTAATTACTATGTAAATCGATCGAAATCGATCAAAATCGATCGCTATTGTACAATACGTTGGCTAGATACGGCGCGGAATGGAAGTCTTCGAGCGTTGCAGTTTGTATATTTCTATCGTTAGGTTTGAACCGTTGTAATCTTTTGCTAGAAATGTTGAGGGATATTCTAGAATAATTAAACAGGAATGATCGACGGTTCGACAGTTCGACAGTTCGACAGTTCAACGGACAAAGTGTGCGATCAAATGTTGTTTCTCGCGAAATATTTTCGATTGGCAGCAATTTCGTAAACGGAAGAAAAGAAACAACTTTAGAGTTTCAAATTTCTATGCACTCGAGTAATTCGATGATGCGCGATACGTGCAACATCTCTACGCTTGTACTGAACGTTCGAACACTTTGATTGCTCGCTGTACGCGCGAGTGTCTATAGACACGCGGCCGCCGTGAACTCGTTAAACGTTTGCCAAACTCGTAGAAATCGAAACTTGAAAATTCGGCTTATCGTGGGATCGACAACGCGGGGTCCTGCAGCGTCGTCGGCGGCCTCCTATCGAAGGATTCTCTACTCTCGCTTCGATTCCCAGAGACTTAAAAATGTACAAGTTGTTTCAAGATAAGCGCGAGACACGATTACCTAAAGGTAAAAGGTTTTCAAGTTGCCGTGAAAGTAACTTTCTTTCCTGTGAAAAGGGGCAATTATCATCTGGTTTCCTTTAAAATGATTCACATTTTTCCCCCCTAAAACGATACGGATAATCACAATTGCGTTGCATTGGAAATCTTGTTTACCGAGAGAAGAACAGATTATTTTGTCGAAAGCTCGAAGGTGTCCTGTCGAATCGAGGACTTGAAACGAATAGAAGTAAAGTAAGCTTTTATTGCCGTCGACGATCGCTAGGATTTTTGTACAATTTTCGTCGGGACACGCGTTCGTGCAAAGTTAGACACGTGCAATGATACCATCCAATCTCAAAATTGAGAGAGGACTTCCCGTTTCGTAGTAGAGTAATATTAAACGAAGAAATACACGCGAACAGAAGGAACAACGGCATTTGTATTTTGTATTTTTATATAGTTTGTAGAAGCGTCGAGTTTGCAGAAGGGACGATCTGCACCTGTGATTGAGCGCCTAGTCTTCACGGATCAAAATATTTTTCATGGAATTATGATTGTTTCGTAGCGAAGGGATTCAGAGTGAAGAAAGTTGAGTTCGTGATCGTGTAAATCGGTTCGATCGTTCCAACGCCTCCTTCTATCCGAACGAATCGAGTTCGGCCGAGATCGGGGACGTTGAACACAGCATATCAATGAACGTGCATCGTTTGCCTAATTTTTCCTCGCGTGATCGACTCGAGAGCCACGATCGACGCGACGATATCTTTTTCGGTGCAGCCTATCGGCAGGACTTGTTGGATCCGTGATCGTTTACGGCCGTCAGTCGTATTCCTGTCGTAAACCGATACTGTAACGACGAGGACGGACTGTTCGATGCGTAGAGCAGCGTGTACTTGAAATCCTTACAATCGATTACCTTCGTAGAGCAGTGATTATAAATCAGAGTTCTCGTCTTTCTAATAGCCTCTAACAACAACAGCGACAGCGACAGCAACAGCAACAGCAACAGCAACAGCAACAGCAACAGCAACAGCAAAGAAAACAATCCGAGACGCGATTAAACCAGACGGAACGAGAGAAAAACGAATCTGTAAACTGTCTCGAGTAAAACATATCTCCGTTTAGTCGATAGTGAAACTCTCAGCTGTCCCGGCGTTCACCGAAACGAAACAGGGAAACGCAAAGAGTGGCATCTTCGAATATCATATCTATCTAAATGAATCTTTCTAAATGCTCAAGGGTTTGGACGCGGTATCGAATGCGAGAGGATAGCCGAGAAATCGGAGAATAAAACGAACAGTAGGTTTTACCGTTTAAGTTAGCGCCGGTGCAATGCTCGTGAAACGAGTGCACGTAGCTTAAGGAAAAGAAAAGGAAACAAATACTTCGGAATTCTATACATACATGCATACGTATATACATGTATACATATACAATTGTACAGAAACGTTCTTCGACCATCGTAACACGAATGCATCTCGTTTCTCTTTAGCCATATCGAACAAAAAGCGTACGTAGTGGTATTCTTTCCGAACGAATCACTTCAAACGCGATCTATTCCTATAACTAGCAAGAACGTTTCTCCCTCTGCCTCTGTACCTCCTTTCTTCCTCCCTTCCTCCCTTCCTCTCTTCCCCTCCTCCTACCGTTCCTCTCTTCCTCACCGATTAATCGGGCAAAACTCCTTCTTTCGACTAAAGTAGCTAGGGAGGAGCAGCGAGTATAAAAGAAAGAAAAAAATATGAAATCTGCACTGTGCACTCTCGTGAATTGAAGATTTTATCGTAATCGTAGGTGTAGCGATTAGGCGAATCGAAAGTCGGATACGATGATTCTCATTGCTGCAGATGTTTCCAAGTAAATACCTACATAGTCGCGCGACTGATCGAGGAGTCGTTTCATGCAGGCCGTGGTCGACCAGTTGTTTAGCCCGGGATCGAGGACCGATCGAGCGTAGTCGATCGATCTCTCGTACACGTACGAAGTCTAACGGATTTTTGCAATCGTAGTTTACGGAAAAACATGGAGAAACATCAGCTTTCGTTCTAGCGAATCGCGCAACTTGAAAATGCAATTTACGAGTCGAATTTCTATTTCCTTGGTGTTTCCGATTATGTAAACATTAAACATTTCTTTCCAAGCTGATCGAGAAAAATGATTGCGTGGCCCAACCTCTCCGAGGGAAACGGTCCCTGAACGTCGCGCAAGTCCGACAAAGCCGACATCCGAATCAGAAAAGAATGTCTCATTCTTCCCGTTGAGAATAGTAATCGAACAATTTGATACCCCGATCACGAAACGATAACGTGTGTCCGGGCATTAAAATCGTCACGGCCTGCAGAGTAGGTTATAGGAACATATAAACATAAACATAAGCATAAACATATAAACATACTCGTACATGCATATATGATTATAAAGTCTTCTGTTTATCGACAATAAATGAACGCGAGCTATTTACAAGTTACTGACAATAAGCGGACACTCGAAGGAAGCGCTGGCCGTCACCGATGAGGGATGTTCAAACTGTAGATATGCTAAAGAGAGAATATTCCGAGAAGGTATTTTCCAAAAGCTGCGTACGTTAAGATTATACATAGTACTATGACAAAAGTATACATATACATATACCTGACCTAGCCTGAAATGGTCGCACCTAGCTTCGCTTGCTAGATTTAATATTTTTGTAATGACGCTTAGACGTAGCTTGTTTGTACCTTTACAAAGTAAATCGGTTGAAATTTGCGCATCGTCGCCGACACACGACGTTCAAACGGGAACGCGCCGATTGTCCCGCCACTGGCAGCAACTGTTCAACTACTCGAACGGTCGAATCGACATTAATCATGTGAATCATTAACGCATAGAGAAAAATTACATGGAAATTTACATTTGAATACTCGGAGAATTGCAATGATTCCATTCGAAATTGACAGGCACAAACTTGAATGAAGCCTGGATCAAACTTGGATAGTTTTGTCGTAAAAAAATGTCTCGACAGTGACAATCGCGCGTTCCTACGAATGACCACCGTTCGAAATATACCGTCATCTCAAACCGTACGTGAATTCTCTGCGATAGCGAAAACATCAAATGAAAAGAAAAGAAAAGAAAAGAAAAGAAAAGAAAAGAAATGGAAGATGGATGGAAGAGAATATCGATTTCTCCTCGTCGCCTGCATACGGACGTTGACGATTTCCTTCGATTGCATTCTATTCAACGGTAGTTGGACCAATCTGAATCGAAAGAGATCTTCGAGCTCGCGTTTGGATGGCCGTTCACCGATATCGAAACGATACGGTCAACCGTTGAATGGAAGTCGATCGGAGATGAAATACGAAAAGCACAAAACAATCCTGCCTAAAAGGTGGCGCGAGATTCGTATTTTGAAAGGAGGGTCGCGCGCTTCCGGTCCAACGGACGCGCGCCGTGTATTTCTGTTACACGCGCGTTACCTATGTACTTAAGTCATACAGTTTCGTTAGCATCTGCGTTTGTACCTCTCTAGAAGTAACGAACGAACACACCGAACACACGATCGCTAAAACGACCTTCGGCGGAACCAAACAAACAATTGCGTGTTTCTTTAGAGATCCATATACACCTACGTAAATGCCAAAAGAAACCAGATATAATCGTGAAAAGAATACATGGCTTTTTCATTCACCCGACACCTCCTCGCCAGCGGAACGAGTATAACCTTCGGAAATCCGAGATATTAAATCCGAACCTAAACCTAAACGCCTCTTCCTCCGCTCGACGTACAATGGCGGCCATCTGTGCTCAAGGTGGCGCACTACGCGGCACGGAACGCGACGTGCCGAACATTCGATTTGAAAGTTGAACGATCACTCACCGAGCTGCGGCACGGACACGTACGTCTCGCAATCGACTAAGAATTGACCCGTTTGCACGGCGCCCAGGGCAACCACTCTTTTCGTCAGGAACTCGATGGTCTGCGGCCCGGTTCTGTTCTCCGTCATCGGGTACTGCTGCAATCTGCAATCGGACGAAACGCCGGGTCAACGTTCAGGTTCGTTCGGGTCACCATTCAATCTCAACGAATACAATTGTCGGGAAGAATCGTGGAAAGATCGAAAGTCGAGACGGCGAAAGAACAATCTTCTCGAATGTTCTTTGAATCGCATCGTGCGTTAAACATAACCTCCAACCGAGGAGAAACGCGTGTGCCGCGTATAGTACGCGAAAACGATCGTCCGCTCCTCGGAGAAGCCTCGATACCGATACGCGTGAAAAGTATTTTCGTCTGTAGGATTACTTACACGGTGACACCCATCATCGGCGGTGGTTTCCGATGCACCGGGACGAACAGAAGCAACGCTGCACGCAACACTTGTCAAACGAGGAGGCGCGTGTAACTTGAATTCGTTCCCGGCGGTGCGGTGCAACTGCGCACTCGCTCGACAGATGGCGCCAACGAAACAAACGGTGCTGCCCCCTATAGAACCGGTAACGTATTTTTCTATTGGTTGCAGTCGAAAAATCGTATCGTATCATCCGCGGTGGGAAATGATTCGCGCAAAGGCTCGCGGGAATGGTAATTCGGTGAAAAGTTCCTTTCCGAAAAGTGTGTTTGCGCCGGTGTCGAGCAGAAACACGACTACACAGGTTTCCCAAGCTAGCGAACTCGCGGAGGCGTTTACATTCCAGTATGAACACGAGATAAAGGTAATCGTTGGTTCGCGTACGCAGACAGGTGAACGGTAGTCGACAGATCGCCGATTCTTGACCGTGTTTGGGCATCTGTGCTGTCCGTGCGGTTCATTTCAAAATACGTGACATCGATACGACGGACACGCGATCGTCTGCAATTCTGCATGCATTTAATCGGCCGTTGAAAATTATCATGCACAGCGAAATGAATATTACAAGTAGCTTCGCGTTCAAACGACTATAAAGGCTTTCCGTAGGCGGCCGGGTGCTAAACTGAATATATTATTAGCTGTATGTGACACTAATTAAACATCCAGGCAAGCTGAATCGACTATCGAAGCACCTGTATACGCATCGAAATTTCACGGAAAACCTCGGTAATTATTTACTATACAAGAATCGTGCAATTCTTGTTTCTACTCTTGTATTACCAACCCGCGTGATTCGTCAAATATTTCATACGCTACGTCACATTCCAAGACACTCTCTGTTCAAAGAAAATGGTGGTCGATCCATTTCACTGGTGTCGTATCTCCTAGTTGACGTTATGCGTATCGTTTGTCGGTTAAATTGCTAAATTAATCCATCTCCGTGTCGATGACCAGAGCACATCGCTTTCGAAACGAAAATCTTCTCGGTGCCATTTCTATATGTACGTGGCAAAGTTGTTCCGCGCTCTCGGATGAGAGTTTAATAAAAACTGTGCTCCCGCTGCTGTATGGCCGTATCGGGGAAAGGAACAAAGGTGAAGGCAACGAGTGAAAAAGCCTGGCAGAAACGACCAAGAAAACCGCATGGGAATACGGGTCATTCCGATTAAACGGGCCGCGTTTCTGGGCTGCGTTAAAAACTCAGCAGTCGCAAGGTCTCGTTTATTGAAACCGCGCGACCGGAATCGACCTTAATCGCCGCTCTTTTTTCGATCATCTTACGCGCGATTCCGCGAAAGTCACACGAGACGAACGCATCAACCGCGTTTCGAAGTGGTGCGACTAGTTCCGTTTCTCTAATATCCAGACGCGGTAATCGATTCTACGCGAGAACTCGACGGGACACGTTTCTGTCGCACGCTTTTTAGCATTTTCGCTTCCAAAGATTAGCTGCAACCAAAAGATAGAGGAGCTAACCTCGTGGCATTGCCAGTCTTACGACTAAACCTTATTTATTCGTTCTTGCCAGCTAGATATTCTCGACGATTGTACCTACTTGATTTGCCGAGGGCGTAGCGACCGAAAGAAATGCGGGTCTAACGACAAACGGTCGGAATCGAGAAAGCCCTGGTTGTTGCCTCACGCGTTTTGGTCGGTTAGCTCGCACGCACCAATTGGAAGCCCGTCGCGAACAGCACAGAGGCAACAGGGATCTTCCGCCAACTACTACTATACAGCTGGAAGCATCTAGGTGTCTTGGAAAAGCTTTTACTCGATTCCATCGATTTCGACGTCAACGCGAATATCTGTTATCTCGGCCGAAAATGAATCCAACTGTTGGATCCAGGAAATTTTCAAACTCGCGCATCTCACTCGTTCCTCGGCCAATAAATATTCAATTACCTGGAACCGAAGTGTTCGCCACTCGTTACGCTCTCTCCTCGATGACACATCCTTCCGCCGGGCAAAACTCATTAAGTCTTCCCGCAGTTCCATTAATTTCGTTCGCACTGGCTTCCATGGTATGAAACACGGAAGGTATTTCACCGAACTTCTCCGTACATGGATACCATCGACCCACATGGCGCGCAAGTAACGCACGCCAGATCTTTTTTCTCTGTGCTCTCGATCCGCCTCCACGCACCGCACGCACGGCGTGAATCTCTCTTTTCCTTCCTCTCAGGATTTTATCGGTGGCGAGAGAAATCGCCGAAATGAAAACGCGTTCAAGTATACGTTAAATGTGTTTATAATTACTTTTATTCTGTCTGCTACGTGACTACGTTGTCTCGTTTGGTCAGAATTGTACACCGTTTCACGTGGCAGTATTACGAGAAGATAGACTGAAAGTAAAATTACGACGAATACAGATTTCCTTCTTCTTCTTCTCTCTCCACTAATAAATTACTGCGATGGAAATGACAAGAGACAAGAAACATATGTACGTGGTACATACTGTCAAGCGAAATAGCAAAAATAGGCGAGAATCGCGGTTAAGATGTTCACCGGCAGGAAATTATGACCGGACGTCCGGAAGCGCGTGACTTAAATGTGCGATTGGACCGGCACCCCAACACTTGAGGCGGATCGTTAAATATTCCGTCGATATTCGACGGTGCCGCGGAGCGGCTTAAATTTCGTCTCGACGAACAAGTCGGGATGCCCCGTTGCACAGAACAGCTCGCGCTTTGTCTTGACAGCGCGTCGTGTAATTTCTGCTTCCTTCTTCCGTTCCTCGTTACGAATAGTAAATGACTCGGCTTGAGCATTTCTTGACTTGGCGCCACCCCAGTAAATTTAAGGAACTTTCAGTGCTTCGCTTAGAGTCCAAGCCTTAGACCAATGTAATAACGATTATTTAATCAGCTGCGCGTCTACGATATTATTAAGGAGTTACGGTAGTAGATCGATCGATTGAGCAGCGCTCCTTCTAAAGTAGATAGAAATCGGTCGATGTCTCGAGCCATCAATTCGACAGCTTTACCATTGACGAGGAGCAGTAGGAGAACGTTGCGAGGGAGCTGCAGCTCGGGTAGCGTTCACACAACCAGGACTCTCCCCGACGCTTCATCGAACTCGTTGTTATAACCTGGTGCAATTAATTACGATAAGGAGATCACGTCGTTTACCGTAAGTCTGCAGAGTAACGAGCCCTTCTAATTCCGGTGGTACGAGGCGCCTACCGACGCGACGCATCGTGAAAAGTTGAATTTCAGCAGCGTACCACGCCGAAATGCTCTTATCTACTTTGAGTAACACCGAGAAAGCCGCTTTGCGCCGGCTGAGAGTGGCTCAGGCTATCGGTCTGTTTAACGTTACACACAGGCGCGCCTAGGCGGCCGGGCGCACGATTTATTTCGATGCTTAATACTCGCTACTCGCTCCAACGAAAACAAACCACGCCCAAGAAAAATGGATAAACCAGCCGAGCGCAGCGTCTCGGCTACTTTTTCCTCGGTGTTCGTGTACGTCGCTCACGGACATATGTACGTACATATTTTCATACGCGATGCGAACATCTGGGAATAGGGTATCAAGGTAAAGAGGAAAGATTCGCATGCCTACGTGGATCATTGAGTTTCATTTCATCGTCTCGTCTCGGCTCGGTTGGACGACTACTTTTCTTCACTTACCACATCTGTATACACTGTACGTATATTTACACTAGCAACAAATCATTGGAACCTACCAATTATTACAGTGTTCGTCGTAAATGTCCAAGGCGAAAGGCTCTATCAAAGAAATTTCCAACCAGCTGGAGTGTCGCACAAAGGTCCTCTATGAACGTCGACGAATAATCAGGGCAACTAGCTAGCGAAATGAATAAATAAATTGAATGGCGCCGAGTGCCGGTAACCAGGCATGCGAAATTAGCATAGTTCAGTTCAGTAATTAAATCTTCCAGCCGCGATGCGTCGGTCGACTGACGTGTCTTGGTAATGAAGGTAAATCCGACTATCGCGGCAAATGAATGCCTCCTCTGTAGTCTCGGTACCATGTTTCGCTCTCGGTGGAAAAAAACTGGCACATAGAGAGCGAGGAGCGCGAGTCGCTTACAATATTCCCCGTTCAATTCTGTACCAGGAAGCGTGATCTAAGTTTACTCTCGATCCTTTTGCCTGAACCTTCTCTAATCCGTCAACTTTCTTGTTAACGCGGAACGTTCGTCCGCGGCAACAGCTTCTTCGATTACTTGTCCCGTGATTTCTGAATCCTTTCCTCGTAAACGTAAGCCGACTTTAAAAGATCTCAATTTATCTACGTAGAAACGATTTATTATTCCACTTATTTGTAGTCGGATGAAATTGAATTTCTTCGCAGATAAGATAAACGAACATTATAAACCGAGAGCCCATTCTGTTCCAGTACACGTACTTTGACTTCCCCAACCGTCCAACTAATTTCTTGTTGTTCAATCGTCTTCCACAGACGCACTCGAAAAAAATATTTGCGAGTAATTACGTTAGCCGAAGATCCTGAAAATGTTCGGAAAACACGGGACGCAGTGGCTCGGCGTTCCCGCAAAACTCCGATGGAATTAGGATAGCGGAACGTATGCTAGCAGTTCCCGTTTTTATTTTCTCCCGCTGATCCGGCTCCAGACTGACGAGCTCAGACCCCGACCCACTCGGTCCCCTAACCACGAAACTCCGTTGTTTGCGCGAGGTCGTATCTTCCGCGTGCACCGAGTTGTATCACTGGAGCTCGTTCCGCCGTTGATCTCGTTAGGTCGAGTGGATAGGTTTATCGAGTTTCCAAGCGTCGCTAAAAAGCTTGAGTGTTTCCCGTTTACCTCGTCCCGCAGGATTGTTATATTCACTTTGGATCGCCGGTGCGTTCGAAGTTTCATCGGTAGGTATATCGGAATATTGTTGGAAAGGCTGGTGGCGCGCAACCTCCAATCGAATTTCAAATACAATGGAACGGAGGCGGCTGTCCAGCCTTTCCCTCCGAACATTCGTTCGCATTACCGGCACGAGTTCTCTCGAGACCTCGCACGAATCTTCGAAGAGCCTGTGCTGAATGTTCGCTTTGACTAATCGTTGCTATTGCACGCTGTAATCACG